AATGATAATCCCGTTTCGGTATATTCTGAATGGCGCCCAACTAGACCAATAACCTTGAAAAGGTTGCCACGTCATAATCCGGATTCGGTACATTCAGCACCGGGAATAAGTTATTTTTCAATATCAATGTGCCTGTGGCAAGATTGAAATCGTTGGCGCCCATCTAAACGAATAACTTTGAAAAGGTCGCCACGTGTCTGAAAATTCTCATAGAGGTCTAGGAAACTGTTTGTAATCTGTAATCACACTGCATGAGATGGAGAAGGTTTCCAAATTACACAGGATTCAGAAGTTGAAGAATTAAACAATATGACTGGCCATAAAATCCATCTGGCCATCTCATCGATAGCAAATTGACGACAAAGCCCGTCTGCTACTATGGCGTTAAATGCCCCCACAAGAGAAGTGTGGAAACAGAAAATGAAAGGGAAAAATGTAAATTTCAATGAGGCAAATTTGAAAAAAAAAATTGGTTTGAGTGGTCTCGTCTGCCAATATCATTAAAATGACGAATCATTTTCAAAAATAAAGAATTATTTTTTTCAACAAAGAACGAGAAGAAATGTTGACTGAAAAGGGAGGTCCGCATTAATAATAAAAACAAAAAACAACATTAAAATTTCAAGCAGTGGCCATTAGTCATTCCGACAGTGCGTCAGTACAAAATAACAACCAAAGGCATTTGTGGAGCAAAAACAAAAAAACCGAAAGCCCATAGAGGAGGGTGAGTAAATTGAGGGTGGAATGTGTATGACAGGCTCCTGGCTGGCCAAGAAAAAGGACTATAAAAATAAATGGAATATATAAAACAACCCCCATATCAAAAGCGAACATACAGACCTGCCACGGGCCAAAGGATAATTGAGAATGAGATTGGTTTTGCTTTTTTTCCCCCAAACTTTGTTTTTGTATGACATTAAAGGAAAATATGTGGATGTAGAAAAAAATATAAAGACTTCATTCGGAACTTACCTTTTTCTCTTCCAGCATTGGATTATTGGGATCACCAAAGACTGTGGCCTCCAGCTGATAATTAACAATCAAAGCTTTGTCCGTTGGATGGGGTTCAATGCTGCCACCTTTCCAACGTCTGGATTGTTGTTGTTGTGGAATATTATGTTGTTTGGTTAGAAAAGGCCCATTGAGACGGCATTTGTTGGTGTTTGTGGCCATTATTATTGTTGTTGTAGGAGCAGCAGTCGTAGAGGTTGTTGTTGTTGTTGATTTTTTCGTTACAGGCAACAATAATCGGAAAAAACAGGAGTAGGAAGTAATTTATGAAAAATAAACAAAAACCACGATTTTGTTGTTGTTGTCGTCGTAACACATGACAACATAAACGAAAATGCACGACGATAAACACACACACGATGGTATGATGGGGGCAAAGTGACAATAGATTTTTTTGTTCAACCAAAAAAGAAAAACGGCACACGATTTTGTTTTAGCCACATTCGATGTGGTGAGTGAGCACAAGAGATTAAGGATAATACAGAGAGATAGAGAGAGCAAGAAAAAAAACAGGGAGAAAAGAAAGAGAGAGACATTTTTATATTATTATAATGGTGGTAAAACACACAAAAACAAAACACATTAAATATGATTGGCAATTTTTTGTCCTCTCTTGAATTTTCTTGCATTTGCAAAAACACAAATTCTTTCTCGAAATATTTACGTCACATTTTTGTACAACTGAGCGAGAGAGAAAGAGAGGGAGAGTGATAGCACTTTTCTTTGTTTGTATTTTTAATTTTTATAATAAATCACTTTTTAAATTTCTTTTTATACAACTTATACCGTTATTTGTTGGATTTTTTTTATGTTAATTTAAATATGTTTGCCCCAAGAAGAAGAAGAACATTAAATTTTTGGTTTATTTATTTGGTAAAAAGCGGCAAGGTAGCACTTGTTTTGTATACATCAACACTCATACTCACGGTGGCGTATGGCTAAAGGGACAGTGTTGCCACGCAACTGGACTTTGTATTAAGCTTTTTGTGATGAAGGAGGCAGGCATTAAATATTCTTTAAAAATTATACGCCTTATTGGTCATAGAAAAAATATTATTTAAAAAATCTATGCGGTTGTGCCTTAAGCAAAAATTTGAGATTAAAAACTTTGGCGCCCAATCTGAAAAATTCTCATAGAAGTCTAGGAAACTATTTGTAATTTATTACTGACTCATTCACCCTGGAAAAGGAGAAGGGTTTCCAAATTACATAGTATTTAGAAAATGAAGAATTAAACAATATGACTTGGCCATAAAATCCATCTGGCCATCTCATCGATAGCAAATTGACGACAGCGACCGTCTATTACTATGGCATTAAATCAATTGTCTTTCGTCCCACAAGAAAAGTGGGGAAACAGGTAATCCCAAAGCATCGTGTTCGCCGGAACAAAATCAGTATTTTCAATGAAATGAAATTTTGGTATAGAATACTACTCCTTGATATTAACTCAGTGAAAAATATTTTCCAGTGGAATGATGAAAGCATCCTATCTGCGGATCTTCATCAACGCTGCTTTGTAAAATCGTCTCCAGTGAAATTTTTCTATTTTCGAAAACCAAACATTTTTAAACCATAAGCTCAGCAGTGTAGTCCGACGGGAATATAAATACGACACCCTACACAGCTACTATGGGAATCTAACTTTCTGCGGTTCTTTATTCTAAGCCTGGGCAATATTTCGGGATATTTGCACCCTATTGATCAATTATAGGTCAATAGCTCTACTTTCTAATCCTGGCATATTTTCCAAATCTTGTTTTCCCGAGGATTTACCCCATTACGAATATTTACTCCATTTTTTCACTTTAGGTTTTTGGTTGATTTCGCCCTCGGAATATTGATCGATTATCATCTAAATAGCAGTTCTAAGAATATCTAGAAAATTTGGAAAAATTGATATGAATTTCCAAAACAACATAACCCAATAATAAACTCCAACAGTAATCGTAATTTCAAAATTCGAGCTCTATTGGTTCACCCAAACCTAAATTTGGTACCATTTAGTACGAATTTTCAAAACTTCCCCCAATCCTACCTACCCGACAATGATCCTACATCCAAATTGTACTAAATAGTACACATTAGTAAGAATTTCCATAACTTCCTACAGTGATCCTAACTTCAAATTTCAGGATTCCCGCTCTCGTTTCGGTTCTTCTAAAATTCAAATTGTACCAAATTTAGTACCCATAAGTACGAATTTCCAAAACTGCATTCATACCCTAATCCTACACTCCTTTTTCCAAATTTCAGTTTTCTATCGGTTTACCCAAATAAAATTGTACCAAATTTAGTACCATATAGTATACATTTCAAATCCTACATCACAACATCGATCCTTACTCAAAATTTCAAGATTCCTGCTCTATCGGTTCATCCAAAATTCAAATGGTATGAAATTTAGTGTCCATAAGTACGAATTTCCAAAACTACATTCATACCCTAATCCTATACTCTTCGATTTACCCAAATCAAAAATGGACCAAATTTAGTACCATATAGTACACATTAGTAAGAATTTCCAAAACTTCCTACATGCCAACATTGATCCTAACTCCTAATTTCAGGATTTCTGCTTTATCGGTTCTTCTAAAATTCCAATGGTACGAAATTTAGTGCCCATAAGTATGAATTTCCACAAACTACATACATACCCCAATCCTACACTCTTTATTTTCAAATTTCAGTGTTCCAATTCTTCGGTTTACCCAAATCAAAATTGTACCAATTATAGTACGATTTAGTATTTTGCCTGCACATAAGTAGAAAATTTCCAAAACTACATACATATCGCTACCCTACACTCCGACGGTAATGTTTCTCCAAATTCAAATTGTACCAAATTTAGTACAGTTTAGTACTTTTCGTATACATGAGTACACACTTTCAAAACCATCTCCAAATATCGATCCTACTTCTCAACCTTATTTCGCATGCTACGAAATTGTACCAAATTTAGTACATTTTAGTACTTTTCGAATACTTATAGTTAGAATTTCCAATAATCAAAATTTGAGTGTTCCAACTCTATCAGTTTTGGGAATTCGTACTAGAACAGCATAAAAAGTACTAATTCCCAAAACTCCAGCCTTATCTGTCACCTTTGGACCTAGAGTGACCCTCTAAAATTTTAAATTTCAAGATTCTACCTTCAGCTGTTTCGTCTGGGCATGGATGATTCGTTAAGTCAGTCAGTCAATCACTTTTCTCTTTTATTAGTGTTGGTATGCCAAAAAATCCTGGTGGAGGAGGTTATCCCGGCAAAAAAATCTTTTAATTTTTTTTTTAATTTTCACTTTTATTTCGAAATTGGCGACTTTTTCCCAAAAAATACACTTGCTTGTGGCAACACTGCATCCCCTTTTTGTTTTGCTTTTCATTTTTAAGGTGGATACACACATCTGAGTGTATGTGTGTGTGTTTGTTTATATAGGTCTGCACACAGTCATTCGTTGGGTGGCTTTTGGGCTGCGTGCGCGGAAAATGTTAAGAAAAATAAAATACAACACAATGGCAAAGAAGAAAGAACTTTTCCTTCTCTTCTACTGTTTGTTCTTCTTCTTCTCGTATATACGTATACCAAAAAACACAATAAACACCAACATTGAAGAAAATTTTTGGGGAAAATCGATATAAACTGAATATTAGATGAGTCGAAGAAAATGACTAACAAATGAAAATTTTTTGATTTTTCTTCAAAAATTTTTATAATTTTCACTGGGCTTTTAATTTTTTTAACTTTTGTTTTCATTTGATATTGAATATTGATCTTGATATTGAAGGCGTTTGGAAATAATTTTCATTATAAAGACACTTGTTTTTTCTTCACAATACACTTTTGGTAAAACTTTGACCGGTTGAGAATTTTTGTTGTTGTTGTTTTTTTTTGCACTGATTTTACTTGGGGGATATTTTGAAATATTATTTTGTTTTATATTCTTTCATTTTTATTTATTTTATTTTGTTTTTTTTTTAATTTTTTGAACTCACTTTTTAATAAATTTTGCATCATCTGAATTTTGCATGATTTTTTCTTGCTGCGTTTGAATTTTTTGGGGAATTTTCGTTGAATTCCTTTCCTGCTGGCGACCAAGAAATTTTTCACTTGCAAATGACAAGGGCGACGACGACAACGAAACTGACGATGACGAACGGCGGCGCGTACTGTTGAAGTTGCCCGACAACGACGATGAGGATGACGAAGGCAAAGATGTTCCGGGGGTGGTGGTAGTCGTATCGAAGGCAGCAAAGGGGTTGGTTGTCGATGACGACCACAACCGTGTGGAAGAGGCGTTGCTTAGGGGGGACTGTCCGCTATCGTGATGTTGCAAATATTCACGCGTTGTTATTAGGGTTTCGCAAAAGTCGCGTATAATGGCATTTAAAATGTAACACAAATAATGCAGCAGAAATATGAAGAGTGCTATGCCCGCAACTACTTGGAAGAGAAGCAGCAGCACAACTGGCATACGACACACGAAAAGTCAACTGCCTGCCACTGATGCAACAACGAAAAAACGACCAACGAACCAACCGACCGACCGACAATCAGCAATGTTGTAAATGTAATGTGTTTGGCTTTCCTGCTGCACTCTTCGTGTTGAAGGCAACACTAACTACCGCGCGAGCCTTCTCCTACACACACTCCGTTTTACTCTAGTAACCGTTAGATTGGGTGTTTTGTTGTTGTGTTTCTTCTTCTTTTTTCTACACTTCGTTTTGTTTATAAGTGAAAAGCGGGGAGCCTTATGTCTGCCCCAACCGACCACCGAACACAACAGCGTCTATGTTCAAACAATAACAACAACAAACTTTTATTTCTTCGTTTAACTCCAGACAGGGTTTCCTCAAACCATCATCGTCACCAATAGCAACAACAGTAAGGAGGGCATATTAACGTAAACTAATAATAAAATATATTCGTGTTGTTTAAACGAACTGCCGAAAATTGATTAAAACAAATTCCAATTTGAATAAAAACAAAACACACAAAACGATGATTTTTTCCAAAACAATGTTGCTATAGTCCATAAACATTCACTACTACAGCGTTTCCGTTTCTTTACGCCAACGAAATTTCACAGCGTTGCTAACACATGCGAATTTTAACGGCCACTACTCCAGACGACAGTTCGTAACGTTCTAAAACCATCTGATTGGACAACACACTGCAAACAACAGAGACAACGGGCAGCAATAACATCTGCTGCCGGCAGAGACGTTAACGTCAGTCCCTACAGCAGCACTCTACACACAGAGTGATTGTGTGTCTGTTTGCTTCGATTTCTTATTAGATTTTGATAGTCGTTTGGCAATGTATTTGTTTAGTGTAAGTGCGTGTGTGAGTGTATATTGTTGTTATTATTGCTTCCGTCGTTTTCTTTTTGTTTTGCTTTGTTATTTTATTGTATTGTGTACTTCACATTGACATTTATTGTTTATTTTATTTTTTGTAGCCATTTACACACTGAACAGCTGATGTGTTTTGTTGTTTTTTTCTTTTTCTTAAAGAGAAATGCCATATTATTGAAGAGCGCTCTCTCAATCATATGGTAACATGTGCATGCATGAGCAGCCGTTAATTTGAAGGTGAGTTAGGGAAACGTAACAGCAAAAGAAATGTATTGCAAAGGTTAGAAGAATAAAATCGATATTAAATCTTATTTCCTGGAAGTTGTATCAGCAGGATTCGTTAAAAAAAATAACTAATGAAAGAAAAAAAAATAGCCTTACCTTCTGGCAATAATAATTCTGAAAGAAAACAGTGGAAATTGTTTAAAAAATCTACTTTTTAGAAAGCAAAAAAACAAAGAAATGCATTGAAGAAAGGGGAGAAAAGTTCCAAACAGCGGTAACGGCTTTCAAAGGGAATGAACATGGAGGCCTCGGAACCTCGGAGGAAGCAACAACTTTGAAAGCAATGATTTAGTGTCGCACTGTCGATTCATCAACGCCCAGACGAAATGGCTAAAACTAGAATATTGATAATTGGGGTGAGGGTCACTTTTTGGAAATTCGTACTAGAACAGCACGAAAAGTACTAAAATTACAAAGGGGTTTTTGGACATTCGGAATACAAGTATCCGAAAAGTACTAAAATGTACTAAATTTGGTACAATTTCGTAGCATGTGAATGGATAGAGCTAAAAACTTGACATTTGGAATGCTATTTTAGGTTGAGCAATAGGGTCGATATAAGGAGGAGGTTTAAAAAGTGTGTACTCACGTATACGAAAAGTAGTAAACTGTATTAAATATTGCACAATTTGAATTTTGAGACACGGATGAGTGTAGGATAGCGATATGTAGGTAGTTTTGGAAATGTACTAAGTGGTACTATAATTGGTACAATTTGGATTTGGGCGAACCGAAAGAGCTGGAACACTAAAATTTGGATTTTTTGAAATTCGAACTATAAGTATCCGAAAAGTACTAAAATGTAATAAATTTGGTACAATTTTCTAGCATGTGAAATTTGGAATGTGAATTTAGGTTGAGCAGTAGGTCGGTATATGGAGGAGGAGGTTTTGAAATCGTGTACTCACGTACTAAAGTTGTACAATTTAAATTTGGAGAAACGGAGGAAGCTGGAGTCCAGAAATACCGTCGGAATGTAGAATAGCGGTATGTAGGTAGTTTTGGAAATTTGTACCTATTTATACGAAAGGTACTAAAATGTACTATATTTCGTACAATTTGGATTTGGTACAATTTGTACTAAATTTGGTACAATTTGAATTTTGGATGAACCAATAGAGTTGGAATCCTGAAATTTGGAGTTAGGTTCACTGTAGGGGTGTAGGATTAGGGTATTTTGGAATTAGGAAGTTTTGGAATTATTAACAAATGTGTACTAAATTTGGTACAATTAGGATTAAGGTGAACCGATAGAGCTGAAACACTGACATTTGGAAATAAGATTACTACTGCCTTGTATAATTTAGATATGCTGACAGTTTGGGAAATTCGTACTTATGTGTACTAAATTTGGTACAATTTGAATTCGTACTTATGTGTACTAAATTTGGTGCAGTTTGAATTTTGGTTGAACCCATTGATCTGGAATCCTGAAATTTTGAGTTAGGTTTACTGTTTAGGTGTAGGATTGGGGGGTATGTAAGAAGTTTTGGAAATTTTTACAAAATTGTACAAACTGGTACTAAATATGGTACTGTTTAAAACACATCGTCAAATTGTTTTTGTCATGTGTCGTCATGTTCGTTTTATTTTTCAAATAATACTTTATAATATAGTAGTATATATAGGGCTAAGACCTCATTTTATGTGTCTTAATATTGTAGATTTAAAGAATTTTTTTAATACTTATGGAGGTGAATAAGATTCTGTGTATTCCGTAATTATTTGTTATTCACGTAAAATTTGAAAAATAGAATGATCTAATTTTTCTTTGGTAAACACAATTAGTCAAATCGGTTAAAGATGAGGTCTTAAGCTATAAATACAATATATCTTAAATGCAATACATAAAAACATAGAAAGTATGTACACAATATAACTTAAAAATAATTATAATAGAAAGTATGTATAATAATATGTAGTAGTAAATGTTGTTATATCGTTGTCATGAATTAAAAAATAAGCCGGGAAATGGTTATCCATATTAACAATCCTGAATGATCAAGTCACATCAAATCAACTACAATTACCATTTTCAGTTTTGATTTCTGCTTTGACATCCTCTATGACCGGCTCCTCCGTAAAGATACTTAATTTGAATTCTCTCAAACCGGCACCCCATTCAGCGGCACTTTTAAAGAATTCCGCTTCGACCAATTCTATAATGCGTACATTTTTCGGATTCTTATCCACCTCCTGCAAATGGTCGAGTACCATTTGACCACGAGTGTGACCACTCAAATCCACAATACAGTGCCATAAACTTTGTTTACGCACCAAACGAGACTTGAACAGGAAGGCGGCAACCAATATGGCATCACATGGATTCCAGCCTTTAAAACCGGGTTTCAAATACTGTGATGCCTCAACGCAATTTAGCAATTCAACGGCATGGTTTTCTCGTGCAGCCATAGGGCCGAAATGTTCCAAACGCCATTTCTTAAAAAGAGGGATTTCGAGGATAAATATACATTTTGAGTTTTCTTTCAAATGTATTTTATTTATACTCACAATACATATAAAGAATTTATCATCCATACATGGTTCCCATGGCAAAATGGTTATGGGACATTTGCTTTTGCTTAGCACAATGTGGGCAGCCTCTGGATCGGAATAGAAATTAAATTCGGCAGCTCGGGTGTAATTTCCAACACCTGAAATTTTGGGAATATATATTTTTTAATATTTAATTGGGTTTATATGAAACCTTTTTTTATTCACCTTGATGATTTCCACCCATAATGTACAGCTCTTTAATATTTTCCGAAAAATCTCTGCCATACATGGAATAGCACAAGGCAATATTGGTAAGTGGTCCCACAGCTATTACGGTAACCTGTTTGGGATTCTGAAAATAAAAAAAAAAAAAATATTATAAATTGAAAAAATTGAGGAGGTATTTCTATATTAACTTAATTTTTTAATTGGAATAACACACAACCAAGACCAACATCGGTTTCTTTCTTAAATATTGCAGTTTTTTTATAACCTCCACCATAAGGTAGAAATTTTATTATTTTTTTTGGAACAGATTGAAATATTTCTTGGAGACCACTACATAATAAAATGATATGTCGATTTAGTTAGGTCCGTCCGTCCATTTGCATGTAGAAATCAATACAGTGATCGAAGTATTCAACGTCCCATTTTCGGCGAAGTCAAGATACTCGGTGAGTGAAAAAAATTGAAAATAGGCCCTTTTTGTTTATGCCTTTCATATAAAGGACTATTTTGGAGGTTAGTTAGGCCATTCTTTGTCCAAAGGTGACCGATAAGGCTGAGTTTTTAGAAATCCGTACTAGAACGATACGAAAAGTACTAAATGCTGTACTCTTTGTATTTGGCGAAACGATAGAGCTAGAATTCTTAAATTTGAAATGAGGATCACTGGTTGGTTGTACAAAATTTAGTACAAAAATGTACTAAATTCTGTACAATTTCGTACCTTGTGAATGGATAGAGCTAAAAAAAAATAAAATTGGAATACGATTTAAGGTTGAGAAGTAGGGTCGTAGTATAAGGAGATGGTTTTGAAAGCGTGAACTCATGTATACGAAAAGTACTTAACTGTACTAAATTTGGTACAATTTTTTATTGAATGTACAAATGGAGCTGGAATCCTGAAATTTTATTACCTTTGTGTACGAAAAGTACTAAATCGTACTATAATTGGTACTATTTGGATTTGAGTGAGTCGATAGAGCTGATACCTTGACATTTGGAGTTAGGATCATTGTTAGAGGTAGAGTTGAGCTATTTAGGAAGTTTTGGAAATTCCTACTAATGTGAATCAGCTTTGAAATCCCGAAGAGAATAGTGTTGGCTAACAGATGCTACTATGGTTTGAGTAAGCAACTCAAAAGCAAGGCCACTTCTCGCCAGACCAATCTCACTCTCTATAAGACGCTGATATTACCCGTGCTGTTGTATGGATCTGAAGCATGGATACTTGCACAAGCAGATGAGGCAGCTCTTAGAGTGTTTGAAAGAAAAAATTTCTGAAAGATCTATGGGCCGATCTGCCTCGATGGTGAACATCGTCGTCTAATGAACCATGAGCTATACCATCTATTCTCGGACATCGATATAGTCAGACGGATCGAGCTGCAGCGACTACGTTGGCAGGCCATCTTGTGAGAATGAATGAAGATGCCCCAGCTCAAAAGGCATATAAAAGCGAGCCAAATGGTGGTTCGCGCAGGAAGGGGAAGTTCACGGATCCGATGGAAAGATCAAGTAGAATACAACGTCTCGGAAAATGGTCTTTCAAATTGGATGAGATGCACACAAGGCCGACGCGCCTTAAAATCTCGTTTAAGCTCGGCTTATGGAACAACCTTCTGTCATAAGCCAGCTAAGTAAGTACATTGTACTGGATTTCGTTGCATATATGTCAAATAAATCTTCATAGAGTAGGTTAACCCAGTAAAAAAGTTATAATGTGTATGCCGTTTATGACATAGTAACTTGGGTCGTTTCTGATCGTAGACCCGATTTTGCTTGCGCTATAGTTGGATCCTGCACCTACCTCTATACAAAATTGATGTATCGCCGCCACAGCATGTTCTCCTTCGACCATTTCATGGACATCTATATCTTCATCCTGTGGCAAGACATCACCAAATCCATCTTTACCATGAAAAACCGGTCTCTCTTCCTTATCGAAAGGTGGCAACAACGAATCCGATGCACCCAAAAAGATGGGGATCTAAAAGAAAATAAAACCAATTACAAATAGATTTAAAATTCCAATAAAAAAACCTTTAGTTTAGATATATAGGATTTTTTTTTTTTTTTTTTGTTAAAATGGTACAGAATAGGCCTACCTAGGTCTTTAGCATAGAAGCCCAATAGGTAATCAAAAAGAAGACCATTCTTTTTTTCTCATAAGATAACTTGAGATCTTTCCATCGAACTCCAAAAGTCGCCATTTGTATACGCATTTGTTTCATGTACTTACCTCATCACGTCCGCATGCCTTCAGTATCCTCAGCATATTATAGGCGGCATTGTGTAATGTGGTATTACCACTACCACATATTGTAATGCCAAGTAAGACCAATTGTTTCTCGGCTTCCGCTTTCAGTAGCAACAATAATGCCCAGGCATCATCACTGCCACCATCACAGTCAAATATCACATAATTTGTTGTCATTATTTTGTTTTCCTAGTTTCAGATGGCTTCGTTTTGTACGATTTAATTCCCAAATTTGGAACTCGGTGGTATAGAAGTAATTCTTATGAAATTTTCAATATATTTTACAGGTGAGTAGTTCTTGTCATGGATTTATTTGTAAACCTGTAAATAGGAAAAAATATGGGATTAGTGGTGGTTATTCGGTGGGGTGCAATGTCAAGAATGTTTTGAGATCTGAAAAAAAAAAAAATTCTGAGACTTGAGGCGTTATACGGTAGGACACAATATCAACAAAGTTTTGCGATCTTAAAAAAAAACAAGGAAACTGAGTCGATATGGTATACCATTCGTCTGCGGAGACTTCAGACTTGTTCCAGATTGAGTAAAAATATTACGATATTAAATGTTGGCGTTGGATTATTTTATATATTTATAATAATATAATATTTTTCAAATTTAGGCCGTTTGTGGATGAGGAGTGAACTAACACTACTGTATTTATTTTCGCCAGAGCTTTTACTTCTAGATGAATCCTGGAACTTTATTAGAACAATATTTAAAACATTTTATTATTTATTTACTTTTACAAAATTTTGATATTTTGAGTCTTGAGTCACTCCTCTTCAACCGACTATTGGCTTCTCATGCCGTTACACTTTGCTGGCAGTTTATTTATAATAAACAAATCTAGTCAGCCGGATAATAAATAAATTAATGGATAACGTTGTGTGTTGCACTTAGATATTGCTGTATGCATGGACTGGTGTATATACTCGTGGCGGTGTGTGACACTTGACAAATGATACAACCTTGAAGTCCAAACAAAAACATCACGTAATGAGAATAATCGGAAATTTACTTCCTCTCAAAAAGTGGAATGAGAGCCAAAATACTCTAACAATTACTGTTTTCCAATTTCCTCTCAGGATGTGAGTCAATGGATGAAATAAGATACTTTGTTGGCTACCTTAGGAAAATGTAATTTTATTAAAAAAATATTTAAAAAAATTGTATGCGAAGTTATTCCCGTAACAAGAAAACTAGATAAACTAATTCATATTTTTAAAATTATGGAAATTCATTCAATTCAATCACACCTTTTAAAATGTGTCAATAATATTTAGAATGAAATCTAGTAGAGATAACAAAATTTTATATTGTCAACACAGGTTAATTGATATTAATTTATATGTCGACTTAATTGTGACAATAAATTTTAACACCCTAGCGAATGTTTATTTTTTATTGTTGGTGTTTCTTTTTTGCTATTCAATATCACTTGATTAGCAGAAATAAAAATAATGAGCTATAGGGATAGAATACATGGATTTTTTTTAAGGCAACAACAGAGTATTTGAATCATTTTTTGGGGGGAGGTACTTTGAGTTTGATCTAAGTTTGGAATAAATATTACAATGTACAAAGTTTAGTTGAAATCGGTTACACATTTCGATAGTTATCTTTTGTGATATAATAGATTCCCAACATAATGATTAATGGCAAAATTTAACACATATAGACCTCCACGTAAGTATGCGATTCCGATATGTTCATTCCACTTCATTATAAATGCCTTATTTTGGACAAATCTGACTTCAATGTCCGCTGATGCCATATTTTCGCGGACAATAAGTGAATTTTTGAATAATTAACAACATAATGATTAATGGAAAACTTTATCTCATATAGACCTCCACATTAGTATGCGATTCCGATATGTTCATTCCCCTTCATTATACATTTCTTATTTTGGACGAATCTGACATCAATGTCCGCTGATTCCATCTTTTTCGAAGACAATAAGTTATCTCTTAGCTCTGGTACATATGAAACCTCTTTCAATACCATGTCAAAATTTCTGTTACTAGATCCTTTTATTGTGCCTTTATGGTTATGTCCAAATTTGTTGCATATATGACAATGACCTTGACGTTTTATTTTAAATTTCTTTTTATATTCATTAGCTGTTTTTGGTGCAAAATGTTCCCCTTCTGAACGGTGAGCCATTCTCATTTTTTTCCATAAATTCATCCAAATTTTGTAAAGCTGTTATTAATGGATCGAACTTCCCTGGTATTCAGGGAACTTCAATGTCATTAAAGGTCGTGTTATTACATCGCTTGATCCAACTTCACCACCAGCCATCTTTAGATTTATAATTAAATTTTCAAATTTCATTAGATGTTTTACTACAAATTCTCCTTCAAAACGTAGATTCATGTTCTGCTTCCTGATAACTGGTAATTGACTTATTTGTCTGGTAATTAACTATTAATTGACTTATTTGCCAACGCATTCTTTAGGCTTTCCCAAATCTCTTTGTCTGTTCTCTTTTCTCGAATGTATGACACCAATTTGTCCCCCTTGCTTTCCTGTCCTTCTTTAAAAATTCTTCTTTTGCAGTATTTTCCGTTGTATCTCCAGATACAAATTCTCAAAATGAATAGTTACGCGGAATTGCCGGTGTTCGCTTATAACCTATTATAGAAGACTATCAGAGAAGATAGTCTGATAGTTTTCTATGATGATGCATAATCTACTATGATAGTTCTTTACATTTTCGAATAATAGAAAGCTACTATGTTGATTTTCTACAAGGCTTGCCCTTCTTCGACTGAATTTTTTAGAAACTACAGATACCTTTAATATATCCTACCTTAAAAAACAAAAAGTAACGTCAGATCCCACTATTTTAAACGTTTTAATGGTCTGTTAGGCTATCAGTAACCCAGCACGTCCTTCCTGGGTTAGCTTAAAAAAACATGGTTTCTGGAAACTGATTATACTTCGATATTTTCTGAAACCTGGGCTTAACTCTAGTTTAATAAAAACGATCAGATTTTTCTGAAATTTTTTTCCAGAGTTAAGCATTTTTACCCTAATTATGGGAATATATTTTTTTCTTGGGGACGTTCCCGGTTATTTGACCCGGAAGTTCGGGTACCCGGTTATACCCGATTCTACGGATCCGGTTAATATAATATGGGTATCATTTTAAAGCTTATAAAAATGCTTTTCCATTGAGTGGTGATATGAGGATTCTAAGGTCCATATCTTGATTCTCAACAGATACAGCCACATATAGCACCATTTTGGAAAGGGCAAACTGTGGTATATCATTTGATTTAGGATTGGAGAGGGAACATAATGGAACCCAAGTTCGACTTTTATGGAGTTTTTCAAAATAATCGGGATCAAAAACTGTATCTCCAAAACGGTTTGAGATAACCATCATATCACCACTCAATGGAAAGGTATTTTTATAAGCTTTAAAATGACACCCATTTTATATAAACCGGATCCGTAGAACCGGGTACCGGTACCCGGGTCAAATAACCGGGTATGTCCCCCAAGAAAAAATATTCCCATAATTAGGGTAAAAATACCTACCTCTGGAAAAAATTTTCAGAAAAATCTGATCGTTTTTACTGAACTATAGTTGTTCCGAAACCTAAATTTCATAAAAAAAATATTGGGCTTAACTCTAGTTTAGTAAAAACGATCAGATTTTTCTGAAAATTTTTTCATCCCCCTAATTATGGGGATATCTTTTTTTCTTGGGGGACGTACCCGGTTACCCGGTTATTTGACCCGGAAGTTCGGGTACGGGTACCCGGTTATATCCGGTTCTACGGATCCGGTTAATATAATATGGGTATCATTTTAAAGGTTATAAAAATACCTTTCCATTGAGTGGTAATATGGGGTTATCTCAAACCATTTTGGAGATATAGTCAAAAAAACTGGGTTTTGGTCCCCGATTTTTTTGAAAAACTCCCTAAAAGTCGAACTTGGGCCCATTATAGTACCTCTCTAACCCAAACTCAAATAATAGACCACAATTTGCCCTTTCCAAAATGGTGCGATATGTGGCTGTATCTGTTGTGGATCAAAAGATATGGGCCTTAGAACCCTACAAAAACAAGAAAATTCTGTCGCGTAGCCGGTGTTGGTATCTGTCCATAGGAGAAAGTCTTAAATCCCCGGCCGAAGGCCGGCTACACAAAAAATATTCTATTTAGAAGGATTTTCTGCCGCATTAGCCGGTGTTGGCATCTGTCCATAGGAGAAAGTCTTAAATCCCCGGCCGAAGGCCGGTCACCCAAAAAAATATTCCATTTAACAAGAGATTCTGTCGCGTAGCCGGTGTTGGTAGCTGTCCATAGGAGAAAGTCTTAAATCCCCGGCCGAAGGCCGGCTACACAAAAAAAAATATTCTATTTAGAAGGATTTTCTGCCGCGTTAGCCGGTGTTGGCATCTGCCCATAGGAGAAAGTCTTAAATCCCCGGCCGAAGGCCGGTCACCCAAAAAAGTATTCCATTTAACAAGAGATTCTGTCGCGTAGCCGGTGTTGGTATCTGTCCATAGGAGAAAGTCTTAAATACCCGGCCGAAGGCCGGCTACACAAAAAAAGATTCTATTTAGAAGGAGTTTCTCCCGCGTTAGCCGGTGTTGGCATCTGTCCATAGGAGAAAGTCTTAAATCCCCGGCCGAAGGCCGGTCACCCAAAAAACACCATGCTATTTAAAAGGAGATTCTGTCATGTAGAAAGATTTTCCTTGTTTTATAGGGTTCTAAGGCCCATATCTTTTGATCCACAACAGATACAGCCACATATCGCACCATTTTGGAAAGGGCAAATTGTGGTCTATTATTTGGGTTCTGTTTGGAGAGGGACTATAATGGACCCAAGTTCGACTTTTAGGGAGTTTTTCAAAAAAAATCGGGGACCAAAACCCAGTTTTTGACTATATCCCCAAAATGGTTTGAGATAACCCCATCATATTACCACTCAATGGTAATATAACCTTTAAAATGATACCCATATTATATTAACCGGATCCGTAGAACCGGATATAACCGGGTACCCGTACCCGAACTTCCGGGTCAAATAACCGGGTAACCCGGTACGTCCCCCAAGAAAAAAAGATATCCCCATAATTAGGGTAAAAATACCTACCTCTGGAAAAAATTTCAGAAAAATTTGATCGTTTTTACTAAACTAGAGTTGTTCCAAATATTGTATAAGGGCTATCTTCAGCATGGATTGAATATAAATCCGATATTCTCACCACTAGTGAGTTAAAAAATTACTGACCTGCAATCCCTATCACAGTCTAGCCGGCATGTATAAACGTTTATGATGAATTATGCATGTGCCGGCTAATATGATTACACAGCAGATAAGGGGGAACTCAATAATAATTATTCATATCAGGAACTACATACACCACACTAACCCACCGTCTGTCTGCCTATTCGAATGTTTAGTATTGCAATAATAAATACAATTTTGGCGTGATTTGTAGACATTCGGCAAAAAATTTTCCAAAAACCTCAAAACAAAATCCCAACACGTTACTTGAACACAATTTTCCAACAAAATATATGGCGGATTACTTACACGTCCTCTTTTTGGTTAAATTTTTAATCGATCATGTCCAGTAAAATGCGAATAAATGAAATTATTAATTTTCTTTTTTTCGTTTTTATTTTCTAATCAAAACAAAGAAGTTTATTCACCGACAAATCAACACAAACAAATGGACAGAAAGAACAACGACAACTGATGCGAATCCTTCTTTCTTTCTTCACCTCTTTCAGTTTTTCTTCTTTTGTTTACTGTCCGAGCAGCAGCAGCAACAACAAATCAGCTGCTTTGGCAGAACAAACGCACAAAGCAGAAGTCACAGTCAAAACAAACGAACGTACAAAACGTGGCGAATGGCTAAACAAAACTAAACGAAATGAGCGAGAGCGAAATTATTCGGAAAATAGCAAAGCAAGATATTGCTGTTGTTTTTACTTGGGGAGAACACACACACGTACATATCGCAGATTCATGTGTGCGTTTGTGCAATGTTTTGTTTTGGGCCGGCATTTGGAGAGACGACGTCTGGGTTTTTTTGTTGATGTTTTATTTTCCCTCATAAGAAATACCAGAAATTTGACTGTTGAATTGTCGGATTACAACAGAGAGTGAGAGATTGAGATGAGTGAGAGCCACGTTATTTTCTTCTCTTAGTTTTTAAACCTTATGTCGCAAAACCATCCATCAGATACACAAGTGTGGATTTTAAGAATTATTTTTTGGGGTTTCTGTTAAACAAAAAGTGTGAATTTTTTAAAGAATATTTTTAGGAGGACCTCAATCAGCGCGATTTTTCCAATTTATATTTTTAGGAGAACCTTAAGAAGCGGGGATTTTTAAAGAATATTTTTGGGGGGACCTTAGGAACACAGGCGTGGATTTTTTAAATCCTATTTTTAGGAGGACCTTAGGAACATAGACCTGGATTTTTTAAAGAATATTTTTAGGAGGCCTTAGGAACATAGGCATGGACTTTTTAAATAATATTTTAAAGCGTGGATATTTTCAAAGAATATTTTTAGGAGGACCTTGAGAACACTAAGCGTGGATTTTTTAAGAATATTTTTAGGAGGACCTTGAGAACACTAAGCGTGGATTTTTTAAGAATATTTTTAGGAGCACCTTGGGAACATAAGCGTGGATTTTTTAGAGAATATTTTTAGGAGCACCTTGGGAACATAAGCGTGGATTTTTTAGAGAATATTTTTAGGAGCACCTTGGGAACATAAGCGTGGATTTTTTAGAGAATATTTTTAGGAGCACCTTGGGAACATAAGCGTGGATTTTTTAGAGAATATTTTTAGGAGGTATTAATTTCAGTGTCCCCATATTTTTGTTCAGCACTGTTTTGACAGATAATTTTCAGACTTTTTTCTACTACCACCATAATAATAGTTATGATCATTGTAATATGGTGATAATAAACATATAATTTTAATCTTTATTTTTTTAAATTGTAAACAATGTCAGTCGAGCCTACCAGCAGCTTCACTGTTAAAATATTAGATGGCATAATTAGATTTCGCTGTTGCCAGTAGTCGATTAGTCGAAGTTGGAGAAACGTAGCTAAATTTTAATTCGAAAAGCGAAAAAATGGAAGAAAATTATGTGATATTTGATTGTGATATCGGTAACGATGATGCCTGGGCCTTGATAATGTTAATCAAGGCAGAGAAGTTGTTGAAGGATTTGGCACTCAAGGGGAGGAGAGTTAATGGTGCAGTGAAGCCTTTTAAGATACTTGGTGTGACTTGTGTGCGGGGCAATACTGATGTGGACAATGGTGTGGAGAATGCGTTGAGGGTTTTGGATGCAGTCGATCGTTTGGATGTAAGTTGATGGGATTTAATTTGGTGCCTTAATAATCGTCAATCTTATTTCAGATACCTGTCTATAGAGGCTGCGATCATTCCATAATACCCCCAAACTTCGAACACAAGCATTTCCATGGTCTGGATGGATTTGGAGATGTTACAAATTTACCGTATGTGACAAAGGTCCAGGCTCGAACTGAACATGCTGTAAACATGATGTACTCCAGTGTTTGTAAGGTAAATATTTCCGACACGAAATCTTCTTTAAAAATCCGGCTTATTTTTTGTTCCATAAAAAATATTGAGGGTGTCCCTCAAGACCTATTCTCTAGGGTATAAGGTCCTTAAAAAACATTTAAAAAAATCTACGTCTTAGAAAGAAAAAATATTCCATAATCGCTTAGTACGACCATTCCGAAAAATCTATGTTTCTTAATCAAAATTTTTATTTTTTTCAGCATCCAAATAAAATCGATTTCATATTGGTTGGACCCCTAACCAATTTTGCTGTCTGTATTAATATGTACGGAAAAGAGTTTTTGGACAAGGTACGGAATATCTATATAATGGGTGGAAATTATAGAGGTAACACTTAAAAAAATCCTCCAATATAAATTTAAAAGACTAAAATTTACTACTTTATTTCCAAGGCAAAGGAAATGTAACGAAAAGTGCGGAATTTAATTTTCGCCTGGATCCAGAGGCTGCCCACATTGTCTTTGAAAGTGCCAACAAACCAATGATGGTGGTGCCGTGGGAGACCTGTATCGATGGTGAAATGAATTATGATGCTGTAAGAAAATCGGATATTTTCTCAAGAATTAAAAAAAACAATTACCTCTCTTCTCTATTCCTAGGATTGGCGTTTTGAAGTGCTATCCAAAGTCGATTCAAAAGTCATGCATTTAATGAACACTGTAGAGAATTCCTTCCTACGCCCCTTGGATTATGCGAAATGGATTATTTGTGATGCTGTCTTGGTTGCTGCCTTCCTATTTCCGGAATTCATAATCACTAGGAGTCGTCTATATCATGCCACGGTGGAGTTGACGGGACAACATACCCGTGGTCAAATGGTCCTTGACCACAAGCGAAAGGATGAGGGCAATGCAAATGTGATTATGTCGATACATACAGATAATTATAGACAAATTGTGGCCTGGACTGGAGGTCTAGTAGGAGATGAGGAGATTGAAAAATTATTATGTGATTAAAGATGAAAAATATTCCTAAAAATATTGTTTAAAAAATTCACGTACATTAAGATCCTCTTAAAAATATTCTTTAAAAATCGAAGCTTACTGATGGTTCTCCTAAAAATATTCTTTAAAAAATCCACCCTTATGATCCTAAGGCCCTCCAAAAAATATACTTTAAAAATACAGGCTTCTGTTCCTAAGGTCCTCCTAAAAATGTCCTTTAAATAATCCACGCCTAAGGTCCTCCTAAAATATTCATTAAAAATCCCCACTTTTGAGGACCTCCTAAAAATATTCTATAAATAATCCATATTCTTTAAAAATATCCACGCTTATGTTCCTAAGGTCCTACTAAAAATATTATTTAAAAATATCCACGCTTATGTTCCTAAGGTCCTACTAAAAATATTATTTAAAAATATCCACGCTTATGTTCCTAAGGTCCTACTAAAAATATTATTTAAAAATATCCACGCTTATGTTCCTAAGGTCCTACTAAAAATATTATTTAAAAATATCCACGCTTATGTTCCTAAGGTCCTACTAAAAATATTATTTAAAAATATCCACGCTTATGTTCCTAAGGTCCTACTAAAAATATTATTTAAAAATATCCACGCTTATGTTCCTAAGGTCCTACTAAAAATATTATTTAAAAATATCCACGCTTATGTTCCTAAGGTCCTACTAAAAATATTATTTAAAAATATCCACGCTTATGTTCCTAAGGTCCTACTAAAAATATTATTTAAAAATATCCACGCTTATTTTCCTGAGGTCCTCCTAAAAATATTCTTTGAAAACTCCACGCTTATGTTCCCGGGGTCCTCCTAAAAATATTCTTTAAAAACTCCACGCTTATGTTCCCGAGGTCCTCATAAAAATATTCTTTAAAAAACTCCACGCTTATGTTCCCGAGGTCCTCCTAAAAATATTCTTTAAAAACTCCACGCTTATGTTCCCGAGGTCCTCCTAAAAATATTCTTTAAAAACTCCACGCTTATGTTCCCGAGGTCCTCATAAAAATATTATTTAAAAAACTCCACGCTTATGTTCCCGAGGTCCTCATAAAAATATTCTTTAAAAAACTCCACGCCTTTGTTCCTGAGGTCCTCCTAAAAATATTCTTTAAAAAAACCACGCTTATGTTCCTGAGGTCCTCCTAACAATATCCTTTAAAAAATCCACATTAAGTTCCTGAGGTCCTTCTAAAAATCTTCTTTAAAAAATCCTCGCTTATGTTCCTACTGTCCTCCTAAAAATATTCGTTAAAAAATCCACGCCTATGTTTCTAATGTCCTCCTAAAAATATTTAAAAAATCCACGCTTATGTTCTTGAAAACCCCTATAAATATTCCTTAAAAAATCCACGCTTATGTTCTTGAAAACCCCTATAAACATTCCTTAAAAAATTCACGCTTATGTTCTTGAAAACCCATATAAATATTCCTTAAAAAATCCACGCTTGTGTTCCCAAGGTCCTCCTAAAAAAATACTTTGAAAAAAATCCACGCTTATGTTCCCGAGGTCCTCCTAAAAATATTCTTTAAAAACTCCACGCTTTTGTTCCTGAGGTCCTCCTAAAAATATTCTTTAAAAAATCCACGCTTATGTTCCTGAGGTCCTCCTAAAAATATTCTTTAAAAAATCCACGCTTATGTTCCTGAGGTCCTCCTAAAAATATTCTTTAAAAAATCCACACTTAAGTTCCTGAGGTCCTCCTAAAAATCTTCTTTAAAAAATCCTCGCTTATGTTCCTAATGTCCTCCTAAAAATATTCGTTAAAAAATCCACGCCTATGTTTCTAATGTCCTCCTAAAAATATTATTTAAACCAGTAAGGAAAGTAGTAAAGTCGGACGGGGCCGACTATATGATACCCTTCACCACTATGGGTATATTAAACAGAACTATTAACATGAAATATATATGGGAGCTATATAGACCGATTTTCTCGAAACTTGGCAGACATCACTCTAGGCTCAATTCAGTACGTTATGCCAAATTTCGTGCAAATCGAAGGATATATAGGGACTTTGGTGCACCATTTACATGAAATCGGACGAAACTATATATGGGAGCTATATCTAAATCTGAACCGGGCCCCCAGGGCCCGGGCCCCCAGGGCTCCCCCCTGTGTACGTCCCTGATGGCAGGTATATATAAATCTGAACCGATTTTCTCAAAACTCGGCAGACATCACTCTAGGAACAATTCAGTACGTTATGCCAAATTTCGTGCAAATCGAAAAATATATAGGGACTTTGGGGCACCATTTACATGAAATCGGACGAAACTATATATGGGAGGTATATCTAAATCTGAACCGATTTTCTTAAAACTTGGCAGACATCACTCTAGACTCAATTCAGTACGTTATGCCAAATTTCGTGCAAATCGAAAGATATATAGGGACTTTGGTGCACCATTTACATGAAATCGGACGAAACTATATATGGGAGCTATATCTAAATCTGAACCGATTTTCACGAAACTTGGCAGACATAATTCTAGGCTCAATTCAGTACGTTATGCCAAAATTGGTGCAAATCGAAAGATATATAGGGACTTTTGATGCACCATTTACATGAAATCGGACGAAACTATATATGGGAGCTATATCTAAATCTGGACCGATTTTCACGAAACTTGGCAGACATCATTCTAGACCTAAATGATTAGGCTGTACTAAATTTCGTGCAAATCGAAAGATATATGTGGACTTTGGTGCACCATTTACATGAAATCGGACGAAACTATATATGGGAGCTATATCTAAATCTGGACCGATTTTCATGAAACTTGGCAGACATCATTCTAGACCTAAATGATTAGGCTGTACCAAATTTCGTGCAAATCGAAAGATATATGTGGACTTTGCTGCACCATTTACATGAAATCGGACGAAACTATATATGGGAGCTATATCTAAATCTGGACCGATTTTCATGAAACTTGGCAGACATCATTCTAGACGTAAATGATTAGGCTGTACCAAATTTCGTGCAAATCAAAAGATATATAGGGACCGTTTACATTAAATCGGTTAAATATATATATGGGAGCTATATCTAAATCTGAACCGATTTTTCCCAATTTCAATAGGGTTCGTCCTTAGGCCGAATAAGTGACCTATGCCAAATTTCATCCAATTCGGATCATAAATGCGACCTGTACTTTGTTTACAATTTAACATGGACAGACAGACGGACAGACGGACAGACGGACAGACGGACGGACGGACGGACGGACATGCATAAATCGACTTAAAAAGTGATTCTATCCATATTCTCAAAAGGAACCATGTGTCTATCTCGTTTCCTTTTGCCTGTTACAAACATATGCACAAAGACATAATACCCTGTACCACAGTGTGGTGAAGGGTATAAAAATCCACGCTTATTTTCTTGAAAGCCCCTATAAATATTCCTTAAAAAATCCACGCTTATGTTCTTGAAAACCCATATAAATATTCCTTAAAAAATCCACGCTTATGTTCTTAAAAACCCATATAAATATTCCTTAAAAAATCCACGCTTATGTTCTTGAGGTCCTCCTAAAAATATTCTTTGAAAATATCCACGTTTATGTTCCTAAGGTCCTCCTAAAAATATTCTTTGAAAATATCCACGTCTATGTTCCTAAGGTCCTCCTAAAAAAATACTTTGAAAAAAATCCACGCTTATGTTCCTGAGGTCCTCCTAAAAATATTCTTTGAAAATATCCACGTTTATGTTCCTAAGGTCCTCCTAAAAATATTCTTTGAAAATATCCACGTTTATGTTCCTAAGGTCCTCCTAAAAAAATACTTTGAAAAAAATCCACGCTTATGTTCCTGAGGTCCTCCTAAAAATATTCTTTGAAAATATCCACGCTTATGTTCCTGAGGTCCTCCTAAAAATATTCTTTAAAAAATCCACGCTTATGTTCCTGAGGTCCTCCACCTAAAAATATTCTTTAAAAAATTCACGCTTATGTTCCTAAGGTTATCCTAAAAATATTCTTTAAAAAATCCACGCTTATGTTCCTAAGGTCCTCCTAAAAATATTGTATAAAAAATACACGCTTATTTTCCTAAGGTCCTCCTAAAAATATTGTTTAAAAAATCCACGCTTATGTTCCTAAGGTCATGCTAAAAATATTCTTTTAAAAAATCCACGCTTATTGTTCATAAGGTCCTCCTAAAAATATTCTTTAAAAAATCCACGCTTATGTTCCTAAGGTCCTCCTAAAAATAT